TTCCCTACAGTCACACGTCATGATTTTTCAGATTAAATAATTAAAAAAAGATCATACTTACTCCTTTCAGTACATCATCTCGATAACTACTGAATTTCATGAACAAAGTTATTTTCCAGCTTGTGTTACAGTTGACAGCATTTACCTTTGGAGGGAAAAAAAAAAAACAGAAAATACAATTATAGTCTCAAGGCATATTCTTTTCTCTTTGAGACATTCTGTTCTTCTAAAAGACCACGTCACATCTAAGGTAGCAGGGGACAATGCTTAGCTATACATTCGTATAGTTTCTAACACGGGTCCTGAAGCTCTCAAGTGTTAATGAAAATGATGCTGATGTTGGAGAAGATTCAGTGGGTAAAAGGCTCTGTTGACAGCCTACCAAAGATGACCTAAAGAGCTGTTGGAAGAGGACTTACTCATACATCAGTGAGAGTTTTAGGTACTTGAGCAAACCTCACAAAGCCTTCAGTGCTAGACAGAACTGTGCCCAGAGTTAAGCATATTTCATCTTCGTTTTTTGAGCCTAAGCTGGAACCAATGTTTAATATTGACCTCTGACCCATGGTGGACTCACAGGGGGTTCTGCTTACCAGTGAAGAACAACATATAACCCATCTCAGAGCAGCAGTTACCCCTCCTCCCTCCACTGAACTCACCTCTTTGCAGCCAGGGTTATCTAGAAGCTCAATGTTGCTGGCATGTAGAGGCTGCCCTGCATTGACTGGCATAAGAACAACTTTATCTCCCACAACAACCTGGAATTCAAACATAAAATGCAATTTAGACCTATGTAATTATCCAATAAAATGAAGTAATGTTTCATTTTGAGAGAACTACTCAAATGCATGCTCTAAGAATGGCACCCAGTGAATTTCTTTGCAGACAATTGACACACCAGCTCTGTTCACCCACGCCTCTGCAATTGCTTGGGTTCAGTATTTCACACTAAGGAATCCTCACATTCTCAGTATGCATGTCACCTGGTTCAGAAGAAATCTAAGAATATGAAATAGATACAAACTTATGAATTTCAAAAGCAGATCAGTTCATCTAGAACATATATTAACTACTCTTTATCCCACATACAGTTCTGGCCAAAAAGCAAAGAAAGCTTAGAAAATAATTTGTACTCAGACAGCAAGCCTCTTTTCTCTCCTTTGCTGTCAGCCATCCTTTTCCCATCAACATGTCTTTCATTTCACAAAAGCCTTTAAAAATTTCCCTGTGATAAGACTTCTTTAGCCTGGTAACTCCCCAACTCTGTGGACCATCTTCTGGCAAGTGTCACGACAGGCTCAGGAGTTTTGCTGTTTGGACTGTATGACTGCAATCTGGAAAGGAAGATAAATCACCAGAAATTCAGAGAGAGGCAAACACTCCATCCCCTCTTCTGTTATTCCCTAATTGGTGTTTGGACCTCAGCACAGGCAGCAGGTACAGCAGCCGAGAGACTTTCTCTCTAAAAGAGGAATTCCTAGCTGACTCCCTGCAAACAAATTCCCACTCCCTTGCAATTCTTTACCTATACAGACAGGGAAAAACAATACATGAAAATGCCTTTGACCTAAAAAGTGCTTGAGACATGCATACGGAGAACTCAGTTCACACCTGGAAAGTGAAGGGGGAATTTTTTTAAAAATCAATGCACATAGATTGGTTGGCACTGGGTCCTGATTTGCTTATGTTGTTCACAGCAACTTTAAGCACACACACAAATGAAGACAAGTGGCTACATGTGATTTTTGCTATGTGAAATGCTGTGTAAGCCATGCTTTCTTTTGGAAAACAAAGAACAAAAAGGGCTTTCTGCATCGATCAGCACATTCCCTGAGAAAAAGCAGAGCCAAATTCAGCCTCATCTAACTTCAACGCAGGTGAATTGGGCCCACTGCAGAGGTGAAAAAGAAGTTTACCTATTCTCCACCAACACAGCTAAAACAAATGGTAGCAAAAGACAGTGTCATCATGCTCAGACTACACACAGAAATCCTATATGATCCAAGTAATAAGAAAAAGTTCACTAATGGAACCAAAATAATGACAAGATGCCTTTAAGTTACATTACTTGTGCAATACATTCTCGCATGCCATGCTTCACACAGACATTACTTACAGCCCATTTTAAGAAGTTATGACCAGACAATTCTTAACCAAAAAACCATCAGGCTTGCATCCTGCAAAGTGGAATCAGGACTTCAAGATTATTGCGAGTACACCAGGACTATAATAACTTAATTAGCAAGAAAGCACATGATTGAGCATCTTATTTAAAAAGGATTAAAAAAATGGAAGTTCCATCTTTCTTCTTCTTCTTGCTTCCAACCTCCCTAGGTCGCTGGGAAGGAAGGGATAGAGACAATTTCACAGTGCTTGTTCCCTCTGTACACCACTGATAGAGGGTGTAAACAAACTAAAAGTGAAGAAGGAATCCTGTTCTCTTATACATGGCTGCCTTGGGCAAGCTGCAAGTCTGCTCTTTTGAGTACCTCACATCCCCTGCCCAGTTAGTTTCTGGCTCCAAATAATGCCCCAGCATGCCCAAAACACTGGAGGCAGACAACTCACATGCCCACTTGCCTGTATGTGAACTGTATGGAGATTATAGAAGACAGAGCAATGTATTCCCAAGGTTTTGCTCTGCAGAATTAAAATTGACATCATGTCTTTCTCCTTTTCTTTAGCTACCCTTGGGCACAGCCAGCCAGTGTGCTGTAGATCAGCAGTGGGTAACAGCTTGACAGGTCTCTGGGACTTCCTCCTTAGATACAGAGATGAATTTGTTATAGTTGCATCATACACACAGCTTTTGAGAATTTTATAACCAATTCCTTTGACAAAATTCCTACCCTTTCTAGTCTATGTAAGGAACTTCCAAAGAATGATTAAATTCACAGTGAAGCCGCTGAGAATTCAGCTTTTGAATTCAAGATAAACCTAAAGCATCCTTCAGTCTTGGATACAGTGGAGCTCACACAAGGTAATTTCTAAATTCATACAAACCTACTTGGCCCTGGCTTTGTGAAGAGGGTACACTGAGGCCACAGCCTGAGCTGGCTGTGTTCTGTCTTCTGGGTGGCTGACCAGAGCTGGCAACACTTCAAGTGACTCTGTCATTGGTACAAAATCAGTAAGCCCACCTGACAGCTACATCTACATCACAATCAAGGAGGAGTAGTAAATACTGTAGTAGAGGTGTAGTATATCACAAAGACTAGCAGCTACAAAGAGCTGTATTGGGTATGAAGATGCAGCAGCAGTGATTTCAGTTTGGACCAACCATCCAGGTAGGTTACCCAGGCACACTGAAGGCTCTGCTGTTCCATCTCCATCGCTTTCATGTTATAACCACATCTGACAGTGGCACTGCTGGCACACTTCAAAGATCAGGAGGATTAACAGAACTTTCCCACAGACAGCTGGGCATTTCCCAGGTACAAGACCACCTCCCTCAGCACGATGCCAGATCAAGCTTTCAAACCACTGACGTGTCAGACAGGAGAGAATGCAATCCCCACAGAGCTAATCCACAGCTACCAGTGCACGTTCTGCTGTGCAGCAGAGCTGGAGCCAGCTCTAGCCTTAAGCAGTCACATCTTCCATTGAAGGAGAGTTGGTTTATGCTTAATAAAAGTCTGCATGAAATACTGCAGTTATGCCATTACTGTAATTTTCAGCCCTATTTTTTCATTGCTTTCATTGGCTTGTAGAACTCACCAGCTGCTGATGAAGCTAAGCTAACCCTCCTTCAGAAAAATAACGTTCAATATTTGCACAAGGCCAAACAACTGTGATTACTTACCAGAAATCTCACACCCATGGCTTCTTTTATCACAGCTTCCCCTAGATTAAACCATCTTCTTTTATTTTAGGATATATGCCATATTTGGATCTATCTTGCCTGAGTTATCTGACACAGTAGCAGTAAATCAATACTCACTTCTAAAATATGTTTTCTTAGGGAACTTCCTTGTCATAGCACAGAAACTGAGAATAAAAACGCCCCAAAGTTTCCAAACAGAATAAGGGCCTGATATATCATCCTAGCTCCACACACTGAGAGGTCAGAAAAGTATAACTAAAGAAAAGTCCTTTAAAATCTAACCTACTGAGTGCATAAAGTGGCCCAAACTTATGTGGTATTAGGTGCTTTGTAGATGAGCCCCCCAGAAACTAGCCTTTAATGGGCACAAGTCTGGGAGTAACTGAGAGGGAAGGAGTGGGTACAAGGCTGGAGCCTCTCTCCATCTCTGAGAGGCAAATGAAAGATTTCCCCCATCACTTGCTACCCCTTGTCCCACGTACAACAGCTGCCTAGTTTCTGAAACTGTTGAAAGGGTGGAAATGTGCCAGAGCAGCCAGGAGACAGCTACCAAAACACTAATACTTAGCATCAGACATTTGCAAAGAAAACCATCTGACCTGTTTGGGTCTGGCAGAAAGGAGAACAAACCTGGGTCTCAAGATTTCCCTCTGTAAAATGTAATGGCCCCCCAGGGAACAAACATCTGCAGAGTGGGACGTTACAGCAGTCACTATGATGATTTGCAAACTTTTCACACCAGCAAAACTGTTTCCAAACTCTTATGTGCCCACTACAGTGTGAAATTGAATTAGAAGCTCTGCAGTACTGAGGGATGACTTTCACGGCTTAAGATCATTCTGCTGCTTTCATCTGTAAGGGCTCACAATGGCTTTGCAGATCACAATCTGGGAACACCAGGTCCTCAACTCTGGAGAGCATGGCAGGCACTTATTTCTCAGGTATGAGGGCATGAGAAATTAAGAAGCCAATGAACTGATTTTATGCTATGAAATTTAGCCAAAAACCTTAAAGCAGTAAGTCACTTCTGAGGGAAAGGAATATCAGGTTACTGTTTGATCCACAACATTTACTTTCCCCAGCTGAAAAGCCATGCAAAGGTAACCCAGAGGGCTACTCATGTTCACTGTTTTTCTCTGCAACAGACCTGGGGAAAAGAAGAGCTTCTCTCAGACCCTTCTGATCAGTGCATAGAGCAGGGGAAGACTATGACTTCAGGGACTTGTGACCAGGAGCTGGGAATATAGTCCTTCCCCTTCCCACAAGAGTTTGCCAAAAGGAGATACAAGCACCCACACTCATCCTGGAGAGCATCCCAAGAGCTGGGTAACCACAAAGTTAATGAGAGAAAACACAGGAGAAAACAGGCATTCTTGTCTGCAGCCCTGAGAGGGCTCTTCCACCAATTACTTCACAGGGGAGAGTGGCCAAACATTCCCAGCCAGGTCTAAAATATAAAACCACAGAAGCTCATCATGTGGCCACCCCAGAGGCAGATCTGAGTTCTCCACACTGGGCACCTAACCAAGCCACAGCCAACAGAATGAAGAACCAAGGTTTGATCTCATGGTGCAGCTCTCAGGTAGCAAAGAGCTCTCCTACATATTCCTCCTCTTACCAATACACAAGGTTCTGTTGAAACCCACCCAGGAAAGACTCACCAGGCTATACAACTGAATTCAAGTCATAGATGTCACTCTCAAGTTGAGAGGGGATACAGATTTACAGAAATCTGATGGATTTCCTAGGGATATTCTCTGCTGACTTCTTGAAAACAATGTTGCCCAGAATCTTTAAAAAAAAAAAAAACTTTAAGAAAAAAATTTACTCTAGCTAGTGTAAAACTATGATGAATTAATAGCTTTGTAAATCTGCACACAACAGGTGGACTTGAGCAAAGATGCCCCAACACAGGTTAGTAGAGGCTCAGATGAATGTGGCAACATTTCAGACTCCAGACCATATAATTTGGTAACACCTCCTAGTTTATAACAAAAACTATTAGTCCCAAGGATTACTGAAGATTTTTTTTTTTTTCTGAACTTAATCCATTAAGCTTTATGCTATTGGCAAAGACATCACCTCTTCTGTAAACTTCCTGCCTTTCACACATTGAGTATTTCCACTTACATTGTCACCTTCACTCCTCAGTTTCCAGAATGGCTGGATGTAAAACCAGGACCCCTCGTTCCCTGCAGCATCCAGAGACACCCGCATAGCATTCTTCTCCAGCAGAGCTGGCAGTCTCTTATTCACTGTGAGGTACTTGTTACTTTTTATGTGCAGTAGCTGTGAAAAAATAATAGTTGTTAAAAAATTAGTACAGCTGTTGCTTCTTCTCCCTTCAGACAAAAGAGAAGGTGCAGGTTCTCACACTGGGGTGATTTTTCTTAACATACATAAATGCAAATTAAAACTAGAAGAGAGTTATCAAAGTATAGTGCAGTTTAGGAAATCAGATGCTGTGTCTTAGATTGAGATATGTGTCACTGATCCAGTTTACAGTATATACTGCACAGGTAGGGCACGGGTCCACTGACAGTGCTACCTTCCAGGAATTTCATCCATTACAGGAAAGCTTCACTGCACTTAAAAACATAACTTCTTTCTCATTTATATGTCATGAAGTACAAATGACTTCAGTGATTTAAAAGGGAGCTGCACAGCACCTGTCTAATATTATTTTTTAAATAACCTTGAAAATAAAATATATATATTTACATCCAGATTCTAAAGCGCAGCAACAAAAATTACACACAGAAAAAAATATTTTATGACATGTTATTTAAACATGAATAAGCAGCACTTCTGGGAGGCTTTAAAACAGGCAGAAAAACATGGTTTGGTAAACTTCATCAAGTTCTGTTTACCAGACCCTCGACAATCCAGATTACAGTGGTTTCATTTTCACTGTAACCTTGAAATGAAATGATATTTCCCTCCCAACTCTGAGAGAAGGCAGCTGGATTCCAGCAGGTTTACCTGTATGACATTGCTGTATTTTACAATTTCACCCAACAGCTTCCTGTTCTCGCTTTCGTTCTGCTTTTGCTCCAGTTCTGCTGCATGCTGCAAGAGAAAGATTACTTCTTTAAACTCTACAATATTAATGTCTGTGTTCAGCTGCAAGAGCAGAAAGTGTAAAAAAGAGATGGCATCACATTTAAAACACATCCTCCAAGCAGCAAGCATTACTGCACTGAATATATTAGCACCCAAATCCTGCTGCAGCATCATTTTCTGAACTCTGATTACCCAGCCCCTCTGTAATGATTCTGGCTTTTTATTATCCAGTCACAATTTATGGATCACACCTGAAATTAATGCTATTTTAAAAATTTTCAAGCACAAGAAGTAATTCCAGGTGCTTTATTTCATCCTGAAAGAGGAAAAAGACAGGCCTATGATTAGCTTCTCCCTGTTGCCATTCTTTTTCCTTGTTGGGGTTTTCACTTCATGCTAATGCATGGACTTTATGCTTAATGAAACAAAACTATTAGGTCACACATTACAAAACCAAGCCTAAGCACAACAGTCCGGGTCAAACACGGTTAGAGAACAAACTGTTAGCTCCTAGATCTAATTGCTGTGTAGCTCTAGCTACACACCACGTGCCTCCCTTGCTGTTTTTACCTGGGAGCACTGGCAGCCTCTCCACTGCTCATGAAACTATCAATCAGGTTTGACATGACCCTGTTTTCACTTAGTCTTACATATTTAATTATAACATCAGGCCAGCTCTTTTTCAAAGACAGAGGAGTTGCTCCATCCACACTGTATTTGATGCAGAACAGAATCTGCACAGTGATTTAGAGAAGAACCACCTAGACTGAAAGCAAAGGTAACTGCAATTCTGAAGAATTCCCAGACTGAAGCATCAAAAACATCCCTTTGTCCACCACTCTGGCCAGCTCTTGGAAAAGACCTCTCAAATGGTAACATGGTTTAAAACGGGGCCTGCTCCTGGTTTTAACAGCTCTTTATTTTATAAAGCAATATTTTGCTTATAGTGAAGTCACAACCCCCAGCCCAAAATAAGACAAAAAGCAAGACAGGGGCCATAAATGCCAGTCAGGAGGTAGTAAAGTTAAGGAGAACATGAAGTTGCTACTGTGGCATAATAATACCCATTGCGGTGGTTCCCAAGGTACTTGTTATTATTCTTTCTCATTCTATTGTAATTCTACAGCCTGCAGATTGAGATAAGATTACAAACACAGATGTCTCTTACTTGGAGTTTCTTCAGCAGTGCTGCTTCTGTGTGGTTTCCCTGTTTGGCTTGCTTGGCTTTCCAGTACTGCTTCTGGGCTGAATATCGGTTCATAGGACACACCTTGAAAAGGCAGTCTGGGGAAGAGTGAAAGAAATTCATAAGTTGAAAGACACTTCCTTCATTTGTAAGCATGCTTTGGTTGGTTTTCTTTTTCCAGAAATGCCTAGGTACCACTGTTTAAACACCAACAGCTTGATAGCAATGAGACCCTAAAGAGTGTGGCAGAACATCTGAGTAGAACCTAAAGCATTCAATGTCCCACACATGCCCGCTCCATGCAACCTCTCTGCAACCTCTGGAAGAGTCCCAGACTGTGAACCTGCCATATGCAAAACTGCCTGGTGCTTTATTAGTGCTCTTTGCAGCACAACGTTACAGACACACCATTTGAAGGCATGTGAAACATTGAAAGAAGAGTCCTGCTCTCTGTACACCCTACATCTGGCTGCTCTGCTCCTGGCACTGCTGAAATGAAGGACCACATGGGCATTCAGCTGTAAGCCACCAAGGAGGTTAATGCAGTGTCTGGGTCTACGTCCACCTTCACTAAGATTGAGTTAAAAAACCCTAACAGTAAAAAACTCAAGTGACACAAACTTGAACACCACCTCCATCCAACAGACTAGGTGAAAAAATAGGCAAGGAGGGAGGGAAGGTACTGAAGAGGAACCACCCAAGCAGGGTGGCTGCACAGATGACAGAGGAGCTGCACCCTAAGGAGACTGCAGCCAACAGCAGAACCAGAGAGTAAGAAATAAGTAGCAGCAAAGGAAAAAGAGTTGCAACATGCAGACCCCCATCCCCTCCCCATCGATGCCCCCCAGGGCCTCTGCAGCAAGAGGCAGGGGGACCAGGAAGGGGGAGAGATGTGTCCAAAGGGCTGCTTCCCTCAACGCCTGTTCAATTGTTCATCTTTATTTCCCACCACCGGATTCAGTTACTGTTAATTGGCAATAAACTAAATTTTGTGAAATTCCCTGACTCAAGACTTTTGGTGGTTTTTTTGGACTAGTGACAGACAGCCCTTTAGACTGGAAATAATGTTCACCATTCATCCAAATCTGACTGCTTTTAGAGTGATAAATGATAACCTGGTACTGCACGGTCCCAATCACCAACTGCTCTAAAGGTAGGCTTGAAAGACATTTTACTCAGCAAAAGTTGGTTCTTTCACACCCACATGTGTCAACTGGCAAGAGGGATAGCAAAGTATTAATCAGCAATTAGTTTTGCTGGGAGACTATGTAAGAACACACAGGACTGCATGTATATTATAGTGTGAAGCTCTTCCCCAACATGGGTTGCAATTTATAGATCACAGAATGGTAGGGATTGGAAGGGGTCTCTGGAGACCATCTAGTCCACCCCCCCACCAAAGCAGGTGCACCTAGATCAGGCTGCACAGGAACACATCCAGGCATGGATGTCAAAGGAAATTCTGTCCCATACTATTAGCCCTCCACATTTAACTGTCACAGACAGCCAAGCACTCTCTGAGGACTAATCCACCCAGAGGAGAACAACCTCTGAAGAATTTCTTTCTTCCTTCCTTCACGTCAGGGTCTCAAGCAGGTAGAGATGGGAGGGATGGAACTACCTAACTCCAAACCACAGCATAAGCTAGAGCCAGGTAATAGCAGTAACATATCCTACTTAGAAGAGATTTTTTTTCCAGGACTGGATTAAGAATAAAAAGGTTTCTCTTCTGATCCATCAAGCACATCCTGCACCCCAATTTGACCAGAATCAGCAAGGTCACTTCTCTGCTGGTTATCAGGCAACTTTCCCACAAAGAAAAGACTCTGAAACACCACTGGAAAGCCACGTTGCACAGAGTGTGGCACAGACAGTGCTCCTCCCAAAAATACAGAAAAGTTAGCTCCATGTAAGCAACGTGAAGTGCTTGTTTACCACCACACTTAACACAGTTAATGGCAGACACCACATAGTACAGAGTAATTTGAAAACAGGCCTCTCTACCCTCAGCTCTCCTGCTGCCTTCTCCAAAGCGAGTCCCTTTCCAACAGCACTGACTAGTCATCCTTTCTGTTATCAAAGGTGCTGCAAATACGAAATAGCAACCACAATATCAACATGAAGGACACGTTCCAGGTACACACGTCATCAAGTGTGTAGGTGGCCCTGCTGAATACACCAACCTCGCATGTCATTTTAAAATACAGTGTAATCTCATATTACTATCACAAAAACATCAGCAGGGGAAGCTCTGGAGAACTCTCTCAAAGTCATGGTCTGAGTTTTTACCCACACAGTCAGGTCAGCAGCACCCAGTTTCTGTTTTACAGTGCTGCCCTATTCACTATCTAACTCCCACACCAAGTTTAATATCTGTGGTTGCTAAGTACCCAAGACCTATTCCAGCTCTCTTACCCACAGCAGCACATGCTGTGAAGTCCCATCACTCCTGTGATGAGAAAAGTTTCCCAACTGCTCCACCTCTATGAGTGGAAATTCAAGTGTCAAACTCACAACCTCTCTGTAGAAGATGCTAGATACCAAGGCAATTCCTATTCTCATTTTCAACACTGGAATTACCCAGGGAGGCAGAGGTTTAGCTGAGATATATCCTCCATATATCCTCCAACATATCCATTTCTTCATAGTTTATAAGGGGTTACTGAAATCATGTTACAGTAGGAGCACCTCTCGCAGTACAACAGGAGAGGGAAGGGAAATACAGTCTGAAGTCCAGCCTGGCCTTGCCTTTCCCAAGCAAAAATGAACTCTCATTACCTAAAATTAAACAGGCAGCAGTCTCAACTATCATCAGGCCCAGCAAAGCACAGCTACCTGATGTCAGTGCTGCCAAAACCACTAGAGAAAGACCGTGCCACACGTTCCTCCCACCACCTGCACGCCCAGGGCTAGCAGTTTGCCAAAGTGCTGGCTCTCAAGCCACAAACTAAGCTGCTTTTAGTTCTGCAAATACACCATTTGGCCTCTCATATATTGGCCACCATTATACCAAGCTTTTGATTGCACTGCCCCTTCCCTTCACAGCTATCAATCTTCCTCCACTATTCATAGTGGCAAAGCTTGTTCATACAAGAACAGCGCCGGTGGTAAAACTTTCCTTGGCACTAACCCAAAGCCCTCACCAATTTGCTCCCTAATCACAGCCCTGAGTTGCTGTTCCTAGGAGAAAACTTTATCAAAGCAAACCCAATCACCTTGCCAAGGTGTTTACTTTCATTTCAACGGAGAGTGTTTACCATGAGAATTATATCATACAACTCAGAGCACATAGTTCCCATAATATTTTGGACACTAAGAAGGAAAAAAAGACACAACACAAACCAAAACACACCACCAACTACAAAACATAGTGTACTGTTAAACCATAATGCATGCTGGAGGAGGCTAACTTTGAGTATCAGGATTTCAGCTCATAAGACAAAAATCCCACTATTATTTTCTGTAACAACCGGTAATTAACGTGCCTTCTCAGAAGACTTCATGAAACACTTATTCCTCTGAAGTAACAATACCTTCTTTTTATAGGACCAGTCTTCACGTCTCAGTTACTCCCCACACATCCTGCTACTTGAGTAAACACATCACTTCCCATCCTCACGCAGAGCTTCAAAGCACAGTGCTACAACTCAGCAGAGAAATGGGAGATGTACACAGATTTGGTGAGTCTGCCTCCCAAAGGTGGGTCAGTCCTTCCTAGTGACAGTTCCCAAAGAAAAGGAAATGCAGAGCAGGCACCAGATAACCTCAGTCACCACACTTCATCTGTAGCCACGCTGCACAACACAGCTCCCCTGACTTGCAGTCTAGTGCTTTAGAAGTTGAACTACCAAGAAGTTTTTTTTTTAAATCAGTATTAATTCAATTGTATTATTCTCAATTTAGAGATTAAAAAGTTCATATTCTTTGTTTCCAGACAAGCTTTTCTTTTTTTTTTTTTTTTTTTTAAGATTCCAGATATAAAATAAGTAAATTCATTCTTTTTTTTTTCTGGGGTTTTCCACTTACTTTTATTAAATAACAGTAGGATAGTATATAAATGCAAGCTTTGTGGTCCTAAACGTTGGGAGGGGAAGCTGTGCTTGCCTAAATAAAGAGGAGAAGAGAGAAACTGAGGCAGAAGATTATAA